GAAGGGAAGGTCAAACTGTAGCCCAGCCTGCCCTCTCACTTATGGTCATTCTGTCTCAGCCCGCCACTTGCTGGATTTAAAGGTATATGCCACCATGTCAGGCTTTGTTTTGTTTCGTTTTGTTGGCAGTGCGGCCCATGGAGCCCAGGACTTCATGAATGCCTGGCACCTGCTCTGCCCCTTCTACCCTTGTGCCACACCCCAGTCCAATGAACACCAAGTCTGTAAGGATGCTTTTGCCCACATGCTTACATATGCAGGACATTATTAACTCTTTTAAATCTTTGCTAATATGATAGAAAAAAAACATTTTGTTTTATTTTCATGTTTTTAAAAACAGCGTCCTAGAATGTCTTCTGCAGTGTAATCTAAACTGTAGCTTTAGATTGTCTTCTGTCTTAGTTTGTTTCTTCATTGCTGTGACAAAACACTCTGACCACTACCAACTTGGGGAGGAAAGGGTTTATTCAGCTTACATCTCTCAGGTCGCAGTTCATCAGGGAGCCCAAGGTAGGAACACAGGGCAGGAACCTGGAAGCAGGAGCTGGAGCACAGGCCATGGAGGAATGCTGCTTACTGGCTTGCTCTCCTGGCCCCTGCTCAGCCTGCTTTCTTATGCAACACATGCCCACCTGCCCAGGGGTGGCACCACCCACAGTGGGCTGGGCCCTCCCACATCACTCATCAAGAAGATGCCCCTCAGACATGGCCACAGGCCAGTCCAATAGAGGAAATTCCCCAACTGAGGCTCCCTCAACCCAGTGTGTCAAGTTGACACTAAAGCTATCCAGCACATCTTCTAACTGTAGTTTTTCAAATTTTCTTCTTTTCAAGTGTGCTTTCTAATGTTTTTGTTTTCTCTTGAGTATTTCTATTTGTTAAAACATTTCTATTTTTTTATTTTTATTTTTATGTGTATGAGTGTGTTGCCTGTATGTATGTAAGTGCACCTATATTATGCAATGCCCATGGAGATCAGAAGAGAACATTAAATTCCCCTGGAACTGGAGTTATGGACAATTGTTAGCTGCTATGTGGGTGCTGAGAACTGAACCTGTGTCCTCTGTAAGAGTAGCCAGTGCTTTTAACTACCAAAACATTTGTTTTTGTTTTTTTCTTTAAACTATGTGTATGAGTCTGAGTATGGGTATCCACACAGACGTGCATGAGTCCTGGTGCCTGCAGAGGCCAGAGGTATTAGACTCCCTGGAGCTGGAATTACAGGTGGTTGTGAGTACATGCTGGGAGCTCAGGTCCTCTGTAAGAGTAGTATGTGCTCTTAACTGCTGAGTCATCCCTCCAGCCTTGAATATTTCTGTTTTAAAAAAATGTATATTCAGTGGGGCCGGAGAGGCTGCTTAGGGACTAAGAGCACTTGTTCTCCCAGAGGACCCAGGCTCAACTCCCAGCACTCACACGGTGGCTCTGTTGTCTTCTTCTGGCCTTTGTGGGCACTGCACATGCACAGCAATAAACATACCAGAAATCAAAACACTTGTACAAAAATATATATATATATATGTGTGTATATATGTGTGTATATATATGTATATATAGTACATATTGCTTTTCAGCCATTTCTGCCCAAACTAGCTTCAAACTTGCATGTAGCTGTGGAGCAACACTTAAAAAAAGTTTTTTTAATTAAAAACTTTTTATCTGTAGCTGGGCATGGTGGCACATGCCTTTAGTCCCAGCACTTGGAAGACAGAGGCAGGCAGATCTCTGTGAGTTCAAGGCCAGCCTAGTTTGCATAGTGAGTTCCAGGCCTGCTGGGGCTACAGGGAGACTCTGTCTCCAAAAAACAAAAAATAATTTTTATGTGTATGAATGTTTGGCTGCATGTATGTAAGTGTACTCATGCGTGTAATGCCGTGGAGGTCAGAAGAAGGCATTGGATTCCCTGGACCTGTAGTTACAGATAGTTGTTAGCAGCCATGTGAGTACTGGGAATCAAACTCTAGTTCTCTGGCAGAGCAGCCAGTGCTCTTAACTGCTGTGCCATTTCTCCAGCCCTGGAACATTTTTTAAAAGCACAAAGAATAAAATACTACATGGAGCCCTGATGTATATAGTTTCCAGATTCTGCAGATCCTGGTTATCATCAGAGGCTAAGTTTTGTCTTACCAACTCCCCCATTCTTCATCCTACCCTCATCATTTATATATATATATATATATAAAACGTATATGAGTGTTTTGTCTGTGTGTATGTAAGTGCATCACATGCATGCAAAGCCCATGGAGGCCAGAAGAGGGTGTTGGATCCCCTGGAACTGGGGTGATGGCCGAGTGTTAGCCACCATGTGGGGGCTGGAAACCTAACCCAAGTCCTCTGCAAAGCAGCTAGTGCTCATAACCACTGAGCCATCTCTCCAGCTGCCTCACTCTGATCATGTTATTTATTTTTTAAATTTAATTTAAATTTTAAAAAAAATCCTTTTTGTCTTTTTGAGACATGGTCTCTGTAGCTCCAGCTGTCCTGGAACTCACTATGTAGACCAGGCTGGCCTTGAACTCACAGAGATCCGCCTGCCTCTGCCTCCTGAGTGCTGGGATTAAAGGTGCGCACCACCATGCCCGGCCCTCACTCTGATCATTTTCAAGTATCAGGCAGTATAACATTGACTGACATTTTTGGTGTTGCTGACTTATTAGTTTTCACTCTTTATCACATTGTGCCAATATTTCTCCCCAGTTCTCCATTTGTGTTTTACCACATTAATATTTTGTGTTGTATTCATTTTTAATTATTGTGTTGCCACATGTGTCAGGCTTTTCTTTATGGTTTTTGGACTGTGGAAATTCTACGAAAAGCCTCTTCCATCAAAGTTTATAATATATGCTTTTTGAAATATGTGTTAAAAGCATAGGAGTTGGAAACAGCTCAACAGGTGAAAAGCAGAGTATCCAAGTTTAGTTCCCAGCACCCATGACAGGCAACTCACAACTCTAGTTACAGTGGATCCAGTGTCTTCTGGCCTCCACAGGCACTTGCATACACATGGCATACACTCAGATACACACACACACACACACACACACACACACGAAAATAAATAATTTTTAAAAATTTATTTTTATCTATGTGTATGAGCATTTTGTCTGCATGTGTGTAAGTGCACCTGTGTCATGCAATGCTCATGGAGGTCAGAAGGCATCAGTTCCTCTGGAACTGGAGTTATGGACAGTTATTAGCTGCCATGTGGGTGCTGGGAATCCAACCTCTGTCCTCTGCAAGAGCAGTCAGTATTCTTCACTACTGAGCCATCTGTCCAGCCCTAATTTAAAAAACAATTACATTTTCTTATTTATCTGTATATGTATCTCCTCGTCTATATTTGTACCATGTGCATACACATGCCTGCAGAGGCCAGAAGACGGCATCGGATCTCTTGGAACTTGAGTTAAAGGGGGTTGTAAGGTACTTGATGTAGGTGCTGAGAACCAAACCCAGGTCCTCTGCCAGCGCAACAAGTAGCCTTAATTGGTAAGGCATCTCTTAAGCCTCCAAATAAGTCTTTTGTTTTTTAAAAGCATATTTTAAATATTTTTTGCCCGGTGGTACACACCTTTAGTCTCAACACTCAGGAGGCAAAGGCAGGCAGATCTCTGTGAGTTCAAGGCCAGACTGGTCTACATAGGGAGTTCCAGGCCAGCCAGGGTTACACAGTGAGACCCTGTCTCAAAGAAATCCCAAACCAATAAATAAACAAAAATAAAAAAGCTTATTTTAAATATTTTTTAACTGGGCAATTTTAATTAATTAATTAATTAATTTGTGTATGTATGTGTGTAAACACGTGCATGCCATAGTGTATGTGTGGAGGTCAGAGGACAACTTTCAGGAGTCAGTTCTTTCTACTTTTTGGGTTCTGAGGATTGAACTCCAGCTCTCAGGGTTGGTGGCAAGCACCTTTACCCACTGAGCCATCTTACCACCGCATATTTTATTATTTAATTGATTAATTATATTTATTTATTGAGACTGGGTCTCCCTGTAGCCCATGGAACATCTATGTAGACCAAGCTGGCCTTGAACTCACAAAGATCCATTTGCCTCTGCTTCCCAAAGGGCTGGAATTAAAAGTGTGTGCCACCACAACTGGCCAGCAACCCATATTTTAAATCTTTAATTCATTTGGAATTAAATTTAACTATAGAATATAGGGAAGGATCCATCTGCATTTAAACAATCTGTTTCTTGCCGGGTGTGGTGGCACATGCCTTTAGTCCCAGCACTCAGGAGGCAGAGGCAGGCAGATCTCTGAGTTTGAGGTCAGCCTGGTCTATATAGCGAGTTCCAGGCCACCTGGAGCTACAAGGAGACCCTGCCTCAAAAAACAAAACAAAACAAAACAAAACAAAACCTATTTCTTGATAAAGATTAAAATTGAAGCTTCTGACAAGCACAGTAAAGTTTTTTTTTTAAGGATTTCCCTATAAAAGTATGAATGCACTTTAATTAATATAGGCTTATTCCTGATGAAGGGCACAAGCTATAAGCAGTTGGCAATGAGAGGAAGTGGGATCTAATTCTGTTCTGTAACTTCTGTCTTGGCACTGCTGGTTCTAACCCTAACCCTCAGTCTCACTGGTAGGGTCCCAAAGGCATTTTTATATTTGGTCCAATTATCAAGTGGGCTTTTTTTCTTTTTTTTTTTGAGGTAAAGTGGAATTCTAGCTCTGGCTGCCTTTGAACTCAGTATACAGCCTTCAATTTGTGGCATTCCTCCTATGTTACCTCCCAAGAGTGCTGGGATACCGGTCTGAGCTACCATGCCATTTAAAGTGGAATATTTTTTGAATGCTAAGAAGGGGCTCAAGTGCTCAAGACTTAGCGTAGACTCTGGCATTGTTAGGTCACTTCTTCCCTTCCCAGTTATTCGAGGCCTTTGGACATCAATTCCAGCAGGGAAGGCGGTGGTGCTGAGGGAGGAGCAGGGCTCTGCCGCCGCAGGGTCCTCACAAGGGTCAGCTCACCTCCTGCTCCTTTTGCAGGCACATCCTCATCTGCCTCGCTGCCTACCTCGGCTGTGTGTGCTTTGCTTACTTCGATGCCGCCTCGGAGATCCCTGAGCAAGGTCCTGTCATCAGATTCTGGCCCAGTGAGAAATGGGCCTTCATCGGTGTCCCTTACGTGTCCCTCCTGTGTGCCCACAAGAAGTTACCAGTCAAGATCACGTGACGGCAAGACACTGGCTGGCTTCTCTGCATATTTCCACTGGGCTTTGTCTGCTAGCAGACGGCCTAAGGGGTCGAAGAATCGGTGTGGGCATGTCTGGGTGTATCTGTTTAAAATTCTATTCCTTTGAGCTCTAACTGGACCACTGGCGGATGGGTAGTGGGGCTGGGCCTGTTCTTTCCCAGGAATGAAAGGCAGGGCTAGGAGAGATGGAGACTTAGCTTCAGAGGGTAAAAACCTCTATGCCAAAAAACTGCGTTCCACTTTAAGCACAACGTTTAAATGTTGGCATTATTTCTGCCCCTCCCTCCAGCCCAGCAGCCTTATACCCACAGAGAATTAATTGCTGTGGTGTGAAGATCCCACACACAGCCCTCTCTCTTTGCCACTTGACCCCTGCCTGTACAATACCATAGGCTCCTTTCAGTCCCCAAGGCAGCTCTAGTTTTGATTATGGAGCAAATGTGAAGGGTTTGGAAAGTTTTTCTCACTCGAAGTCTAGGATGTTGTTACCCCCAAGGCTGCCGCCTTAGCCTCTCAGCTGTCTCCCCTGGAGGTGTGTCCGGGTGCTGCCTCTTATTTCTCAGAGCATTTGACTACTTACCTGCCTTTCTCAGATGATTGGCTGGTTGGGGTCAGTCTCCAACCCTAAAGTCACATTAGCTACAAGCAATGTCTTTATTGGGTGGAGCCTCCCAGGCTGCCTTCTGGGTATGAGGTAGGAGCCTTGAACCTCAGGGATATTTGCTGTAACTCAGGCATCTTCTACTTTTTAACTTTCCACTGTTGGGCATGTGGAGTCCTCACCAGGCAGGCGTCTGCCACTGCCTTGAGTAGAATGAGCAGTTTTCTGAATTTCCAGAAACTCTCACCTGGTTAGAATTTTCACAGGATCCAAAGTGTAAACTGAACGTAGAGTTTAAAATAACTTTATTCTACTTTTTTGGTTTTCAAGTTTTATAAGTAACTTGTTGATCTATTTCCTGTTTGTAGTAACAAGTCTTTATAGAATACTAATGGTAAAATAAGTTGTCTTTTATTAAATTTATAGCTTTTTACTTTACTATATCTTAAAGTATATTTAAAATGACTTTGAGTTAAATGTTCTTGGAGACCTTGTGTTCATGGAGTAGAACTGCTACTGAGTCCGTTGGGTTCTAAGTCTAGACTTTTTTTAGAGGGAAAAATTAAAACATCCTCATTTCTTGTTCATGTTACCAGGCATGAGGTCTGGTCTCATCTATTCTGCAGCATAAAAATGTCCTAAAGATACTCAGCTGTCTTAGTCTGGAACCATAGAAAAGCAGGCGTAGGAGATGACTTGTAAAGTCACGGTTTAATTTGACCTGAGGGTTCTTTTGGACAACAGCATTGTCCATAGGACTTACCCCTTTGGGCCTCTGGTGACACCTCTTACCCTCAGCCCCTAGAAATAGGGATAAAATGCTTTTGATGGGATAAAATGTTTTGAATAGACTTAGGTAAAGGAAGTAAGTGCTCTGATTCAGTAGCCAGCCTCTCTGTGAGGCCTCTCATGTGACATCATGCCCTGGCTTGGGGTGGAGTATGTTTGAGGACAAACAAAACTTTTTTCTGACAAAAAAAAAATCAAAAATTTTTTTCTGACCAAGTTTTGTTCTAGTGTCCCAGGCTGGCCTCAAACTCACCATATAGCCCAGGCTGGCCTTGAACTCATAGTGATCCTCCTGTTTCAGTCCCAAGTGCTAGGCATAAGCTACCATAGCAAACCATAACTCTTCTTTGATTAGAAATTACTATAGCAGGGCTGGAGAGATGGCTCAGTGCTTAAGAACACTGGTTGTTCTTGCAGAAGACCTGGGTTCGAATCCCAGCACCCACATGGCAGCTAACAACTGTCCATAATTCCAGTTCCAGGGGATCCAACAGCCTCTTCTGTCCTCCGCGGACGTTGTACGACACGGCTGCACTTATCTACATGCAGGCAATACACACATACACATAAAATAAATATAAATAAAATTAAAAAATGACTATAGCTTGCTAGGATGGGTTGGTTAATCAAGAGAGTAGACATGTACTAATGTTATTTTTGACTTACGGCATCATTCATACTTACACTAAAGCCCTACATGTTCTTCAAAGAAAATTGAGAAACTGTAGAAAAGTGGAAGAAAAAAAGATGTAACGCTTTTATTCTGATCACAGGGTCATAATAAATAAATGTTTAGGGTATGACTTCATAGATTTTTTTTTTAAAATGTGTTCAGGGTTTTGAAAATAAGGACCTTACTTCATTAATTGATATACAGTCCAGACTCTCCCCTCCCTCCCAATAGATCTGATGTCAAGGAATGATGTAAAAAACCGTTAGTGTTACCAAGTGATCATTTCCATTAGTGATTTTAGTTTTGACCGATTATTGATTCTTATAAAAAAGAACTCTTTCTCCCTTTTATTGTTCCATTGTTATAGGGGAGCTTTTTAAGGAACACATGTGAGGTGGCGAGGATGAGACCTCTGCATCCATTTGGCAATGTATTCCATGTGGGGGAACTCTGTGCCTGTCCAATGAGTGCCTCAAACATTGAGTATAGGTCAACAGTGTTGTGCTGAGGGACAAAGCCCGATGGTCATCAAATACAAGCTTTGCAAAACTACTGACACTTATTCTATTGGTTGGATTTCTCAGGTGTCTAAAACTTCTCTTACCAGTTCCTCATGCTCCCCTGAGCCAGGGACACAGCTGAGACACCAGAACTGGGATTTGAACCTTCCCTGGTTTTGCTCGTTTGGGGCTGACAGTCTGGGTGATCAGTGAGCGCTAATGCTTGCCCAGCCAGGGCATCTCTCCTAGCTCCTTTCGCCCAGCTGAATTTGAAACCTTCCTCACCAGGGCCTCACCCATGGTGCTGTTGTTCCCACTCACCAAGGAGACATCTTGGGCCAGATTGGGATTCTCAATGGACTTTATAGATATTATTTTCCTACAGATTTTAACATGGTCCCTACTCCAAAGGTCTTGTGTCTTTTCCTACATGTCTAAACAGATTTTAAACTATTTTATAACCACAATATGTAATAAGAGCAAATCGATTATTTTTAGATATATATTGTGTTTTCTACTTTATGTAGGGTGTGCTGGTATAGGGTGTGTACACTGGCTGGGGTAGTTTAATCTCCATTGCTCTGGGAGGGACTTAAAGGCCTTTCAAAGCGGAGAGCTTTTGCACTTTATGCTTTTTTTTGGTGAACAATGATAACTATATTTAATGTTAAAGCCATAAGTGGCATTTTCTGTTAATAAACAAGTATATGAGTCTATTTCCAAAATTATTTCTTCTTTAAAAATTCTTATTATTTGTGTGTGTGTGTGAGGGCCCTCATAACTATGTGGAGTCAGTTTTCTCCTTCCACATTTCTGTGAGTTCCAGGAATTGAATTCAGATTGCCAGGCTTGGGTGCCAAGTGCCTTTACCCATTGAGCCATCTTGCTGGCCCATGATTTATTTATTTATTCTTCCTTTTCTCCTGCTTGCTTTCTTTCTTTCTTTCTTTCTTTCTTTCTTTCTTTCTTTCTTTCTTTCTTTCTTTCTTTCTTTCTTTCTTTTCTTTCTTTCTCTCTTTCTTTCTCCATTAAATCCAGGCTGGCCTCAAACTCATATCTAGCTGAGGATCACTCTGAACTTCTGACCTTCCAGCCTCTACCTCCTAAGTGCTGGGATTACAGACATGAGCCACCATGTCTGACTCTCCAGAATTATTTCTGAAGTATCTATAATGAAAATTTCTTTTCTTTTTCTTTTTTCATTCCTTTTTTTTTTTTTTGGTAGTATCTCATACTGTAGCCCAGGCTAGCTTGAAACTCACTATATGGCCCAGGCTGACCTCAAACTCACAGCGGTCATTCTGCCTCAGCCTCCTGATTGCTGGGATTATAGGCAGGAGTCATCACTCCTGGGAAAAAATGCACTTGATGGGTTGTAGAACATAGCATATTTGCCAGAATTCACTTGTGAATGAATGTGAGTACCTTTTACTACACACGCTTAAAAGAAGAATAATCCATTGCTGATTTCTTCTGACCTTGAAGTAAATACATCTAAACCTTCCAAGTGTAGAGTACCAAATAAAAGTTGAGGCTTATTAGAAATTCTGTGATTACACCGCGTGAAATCTCAAATATAGATGAAAGTTTACTGGTGTTACATCCAGTCATTGGAAGCAGGATCTTCTGACAATTCAAACTGTACATGACTGGATCTACCTATTTGTTGTTGTAATATCCTGTGACAGTTATATATTTCAGTCTAAAGATTCAGTAATCAATCAGGTTTAAGTAATAAGATAACCAGGAGAGAAGATGGAGTAAATATTATCAGCATACTTACAGTGGAGCTTTTACACTTTTCTCTGGCCAGTGGGAAGGGACACTGGTGGCCCTGGGGCCTTGTGATGTTTGATGAAGTTGGGTCTTCTCTCTAGGACAATGTCCATGCATATGAACTCCTGCAACATCCCCAGCAGTGCCCCCCCCCATACAGAACCCCATGTGGCAAGACGGCAAGGATCTCAGTCTCCTATAGTTCTGAAATTGGTCCATCAGTCATAGGACAAGGATCCTTGGTCTCTTTTGAGGCTGGCTGGGGAGACTGGTTGAGGAAGTTGGAGGCTCTGTGTTCAAGAGGCAGTGCAGAGTGTAACCCAGGGTATCTGTGTTGTCTTACCATGTTCCCTCTTCCTCATGGGTTGCCCCTTGTAAGAATCTGGCATCTGGCTCAAGAAGATACAAATTCTTTCTGGGCATGGTACGCCTTTAATCCCAGCACTTGGGAGGCAGAGGCAGGAAGATCTTTATGAGTTTGAGGCCAGCCTGGGCTACCTAGTGAGTTCCAGGACAGCTGGGGCTACCTACAGGAATAAAAAAAAAAAAAAAAAAAAAAAAAAAAAAAAAAAAAAAAAAAAAGGTGCAAATTCTGCAGCTCTCCTTTCTCACTGTCCTGAAAGATCAGAGCTAGGATCCGAACTCCTTTCCTTAAAGCAAACATTTTTAAAAATGGTACTAGGGAAGCCAAATACACAGAGTTGGAGCGGTCGTAGATCGTAGAGAAACCCCTAAGGCTCTCATCTTCCTAGATAAACGTAATTTCTTACTGTATGCAAAATAGGGATCCTTAAATGTACAAACAAGTATCCCAGTCACCACCTATCAAAGTAGCTTTTTTAACAGATAGAGATTATTACAGAGTTACACCACTGGTCACACACAGAGATTCTCTGTGAATTGCCCAAGCCTAAGTGGCACATCTAGGATGCAATCTCTACACCTAAGACTCATAGAACATAGACAAGGGATGAAGAGAACACTAATGCATCTTTGAATTCTCATCAATGAAGCTCCCTCATGCAACAGAGGGCCAGGAACACAAAAGGCCACAAATGGCCAAAATGCAGAGAATAAGAGTCTTCAGAGTGTGGGTCCTTGGACAGGACTCCTGTATTGAGGTCCATCTACCCAGGGCTCAGGGACCATTGTGGAAGAGGGGGGCAGAAAGATTGTAAAAGCCAGGGAGGAGGTGCATGACCATATGGAAATAGTCCTACAGGTGCCTGGGGCCCTTCTTATACAAACCTACAGCAGTGGTGTCAGCATGCCCAGGACCCATGCAAACTTAGGCAGACAAAACCCAGCACAAAACTGTGGAAATGAACAGCAAGCCCCAATCCTAGCCGCTGAATACTGCTGGGTGAGGAAAAGCTGATCTTTTTGAAGGGAAAGACTCTAGATAGGCTGACTAAACCCTGGTGGATGAACATCTTGGGACACTTTACATAACAGGTCTTAATACAAATGACAAAATGTATGAATTCCAGTGGGGGGACTATGGGACATGCCAAAGGAGAGGGGTAAGGGGGTGTAAAGATGATTTTATGCACAAAATACACAAAAATTCAATAAAATTTATCTATGTATCTGTCTGTCGTCTGTCTTTCTACCTAGGTCTTGCACATGTGGGGCAAGCACGTTGTCACTGAACTATATTCCCACAGTGCCACCATCCCCTCTTTTAAGGTCTTTACGTGAAAAAACTGCACAGTACAGCTAGCTATGGTGCTGTACACTTGTAATCCCAGTACTTGGGAGGCAGAGGCAAGAGGATTGCTGCAAACCAGCCAGGGCTACATTGTGAGAGCCTGTCTCAAAAAAATGAAGACAAAAGCAGGACTGGAGAGATGGTTCAGTGGTTAAGGGCACTGGCTGCTCTTGCAGAGGACCCAGGTTTGATTCCCAGCACCCACATGGCGGCTAACAACTGTCCAGAAATCCAGTCCCAGGGGATCCTGTGCCTTCTGACCTCTGTGGATATTGTATGACATGGGTGCACTTACATACATGTAGGCATAACATACACGTAAGATAATAAAAAAAATAAGGGGCTGGAGAGATGGGTCAGTGGTTAAGAGCACTGGATGTTCTTGCAGAGGACCCAGGTTCGAGTCCCAGCACCCACATAGCAGTTAACCATCTGGGACTCCAGTTCCAGGGGAATCTTACAACCTCCTCTGAGTTCCTTGGGCACTGCACAACATGGGTACACTTACATACATGCAGGCAATACCCTCATACACATAAAATAAAAATAATAAACATTTTTGGTCTTTTTTTTTTTTGAGACAGGGTCTCCCTGTAGCCCCAGCTGTCCTGGAACTCACTATGTAGATCAGGCTGGCCTTGAACTCACAGAGATCCACCTGCCTCTGCCTCCCGAGTGCTGGGACTAAAGGCGTGTGCCACCACAAAGAAAAAAATCAAAGAGTACACTTTACATTAAAACTCTAACATGGGACCAAGCCTTCCAAATGAAATGAGCTCA